GAAGTCCCTCAATACTGAGTCAATACTGAGGGTTCACAATCAACCACTTGGCTTAGTCTCTCATAGGTACACGTCCAACCATTGAGTGTATGGTAGTTTGATAGAAATTCTTTTGTTCCAGTCATGTGCCTAGAACATCCATTATCAAAGTACCATGAACCTGAAATGTTAGCATTTAAAGAAGTGTATACTGTTTTGCACATAAGTTTACCTTTGGGAGTCCATATTCTACACTCTTTTTTGGTAAATTCTACCTTTTTCTTGGAGGTGTTGCCTGGAGTGTTGTGACTCATCCTGTACAACATTTTGTCACTACTTAGTTTCTCACAAAATGGACGAATGTGTCCTGGTGAGAAACAGTAATGGCAAACATAACCTCTTATTCTGGAGTCTGAAGGGGTGGCTGTGGACTTCCTACATTCCTTTCTGGTTGCACCCTTTTCTTTTACAAAGACAATTTTTTTCTTCTCGACTGGCTTCATTTGTTTTTTGAACCCTAGCCCTTCATGTTTGTAGTGCTTTTCCATTGACACAATCTCTTCGAGTTTAGTTGTGCCAGTGTTCATCCTCTTGATTGCTAGAGTTGCCTTCTTAAGTTCATCCTTCACCTTTGCCAGTTCAAGATCCTTCCTGGTGAGTCCAACCTCCAAATGTGTGATTGTTTCTTTGAGAGAAGGATTTTCCTTGTTGACTGCATCTAGAGCATGAGTCTTCTTCTCCAAGTCACTGAACAATTTCTTGTACATTTGTTCCTCATCATTAACTGCTTCATTACTGGATTCTGCTGCATTCAAAGAAATAGAGTTTAGACATGTATATGATCAGTATTTACTCAGAAATTTCAGTCCCTGCCTGCCCCCCAGAAAATGTTGCAGCATCTAGAGAAACTCTTTGTGATTCTGTTTCAGAATCCTTTCCTCTTATTTTCTGACAGATAGAGCAAAAAACTGGATTGCTGTTCCAATTTCTGTTCAGAAATTCTTCCTCATTTTCTGCAAACTGCACGCCTTTTTATCAAACAAAAGGAGAGGGAGGAAAAAAAAAAAAAAAAAAAAAAAAAAAAACATGTCGGCCGCCTCGGCCCAGTCGACTC